GTATGTGGGATCCGAACCCTCCACGGGAGCGCCACCGCGCTCCCAAGCGGCGCACTGTAGCAGTGCGCCACCGGGCCGGCCCCTAGAAAGCTCTTTTTATGGATTTCACAGTGGATTTGATTGGTCAAAATTGGATTTATCTGCAACTTTGGAGAAGCTTTCTATTGTAAACGGTGCTGCGTTTGCACTTTTGTGTTGCTTTTGTGTAGCTGCCTTTCCACTGAAGAGCTCACCTTGCCAAGTCTTTGTGGGCTTGTGATTAAGAAGCCCAGAAAACAAACGACTAACGTTTCCTATCAGACATAAACCTTGAGATAGGGAAAGGAATGGTTTTTCTCACTAGAGAAGAGTGTATTCTTCCCCAGCCTCTGAAGGGAGTACAGGGCAGCAGGGAATCACTTTCTTCTTTGAGAGTAAAGCCAGTAAAATCAATTTATCAAAGATGGGATTAGATAGGCACAGGCCTCCCATTTTAAAGGAAGGTCATCTTCCAGACCCAGAACAGGAAGATCAGGATTTCACTAAAGCTTAATTAGTGGCTTAAACACAGCTAAAAGAAAATGCATTACTCAAAGGAGAATGGTAGTCAAGGAACTTAGTTAAAGGGAGGTGGGGGCAGGCAGAATTTAGCAGGGTTTGCCCAGTACAATCCATGTGAAATGTGCCCTGGGCCACAGCACAGGTGCTTGATCTTCACAGTGGTTCTCCTAGAAAGGTAGTTGGTATTCACATACTCAGTTCATCATTATATTGGTGATTATGAAGCATCCCCGGGGTGTCAGCCCTGTGCTGGCCTGCTGTTGAAACATCAAGACTGATACGGTCCCTGCCTCCAGGCCAAGACCTTCTAATTAATTTACTTCCTCTGAGTCCCTATTCACTAAAAACCTTCATAATTTGGTCTGCCATGTAGATTAGTTCAGAAAGAGACTGAGCTGATCAAGAAATACATTTGGGTGTTTGATAGCTGTGTTTCTCATGGTAATTTATTAAAGTCAAGTTGGTTTGAGTCAACTTGCTCATGAGGAACTTGTCCATCCCAGGTCCTGCAGTGATAGCACCTGTGAGGCCCTGAGAGGTCTTCAGGGACCTTTCCTGATGCCACTTCAAGACTGTCCATGCTCACGTTTTTACACTTCCCTTTTAGAATTTTGGGGGTAGAAAGTGAGAGGAAGGGTACAGAAATGAAAACTGAGAAAGTGGAGGAAATGAAGGAAAGTATGGAGAGAGGGATTCAGAAGAGAGAGCTGATTAAAAGTGTCAGAAAAGAACTGATAATGATATACCTGCTGAAGTGTTAGAGAAATGAATAGATATGTGATAAATCAAAGACAGCAGACTGTTAATTGTAGAATCTAGTTGTCGAGCACATGGGTGTTCACTATAAAATTATTTCAACTTCTCTGTGTGTATGGAATTTTTAATAATGAGAGATTGGGGGGAGAAAGAACTGAAGATTTCATTTTCTTGTGTTGCCCCTTCCTCAATTCTTAATAGATGGTATTCAAATTCTCAAATCCTGTTGCAACTATTCATATGCAGACTAGTACTTTTCTAGAAACTTTTCTCAAAGTAGGCATTAATAGTAAATTAACAAAAGAAAAAATAAATGCAAGCTGGTGAAAATTGATGGAGGGTCACTAAGAATAAGTCTTATCAAGCTACATTTCCATTTCCTCAGGATGACTTGATGGAGAGAATGCAGGAGCTCAGTGAACAGACAGGGTGCATCTCAACATCAGTTAAAAATTTCAGCTTTTCAGTTAAAAAATTTTTTAAACTCTTTTAAAAAAATTTTTTTCATTTCCAGGCTACCGTTTTGTCTTTCTCTTATAGTGATTATACATTCTGCCTCTTCTGATTGGTATAATATTTGTATATTTGCCTTATGACATGACAAAGAAATTGAAGATATTTAGTTTGGAGAAGATAGATACAGGGCAGTCAGGACAGCTGACTTCAGTTGTCTAGGGGCTGTTAGAGAGGAGAGGAAGTTAAGTCAAACAGAGTTGTTTTAGAGATAGCATGAAGAACAGCAGGAAGAAAACATGGGGAGGCAGGTTTTGGCACAATGTGAGCAAATACGCTCCAACAATCAGAGCTACATCCAAAACAAGATAGGATGGGTCCTGGCAAAGACCTCCTGCCCTGGGAATGATCAAGCAGAGACTGGATGAACATCTTCAGGCAGGCCTGTAGTGACCTCTGGGAACGGGGTCAAGGGGTAACTGGAAATTCGGCTTACCCCCAACTCTTTCTGCCTCTGGCTTCCTCCATCCCCCTGACGGGCACAGCATTTATCAGCCCCTGATGTCTTTAGGGTTGGTACAGCTGTCAGGGACACTTTAAAGATAATTCTGGTATTTGTGAGAAGTTGGATAAGAAGGACAAGAAGGCCTGTGAGTCCCTTAGAATTCAAGAATGAGGTGACTCAAAATGTACATACTTTATTATTTAGCTGTAAGAGAAAAGGGAGGAGGAAATTAAATTTAAATTAAAAATTGAATAAAAGACTTATATTCGTTGCTTAAGGTTTCTGTTGGAACCTTTTGTTTATTCAGATACATTTTTAAATAGTTTAACATCTTTGTCTTTTTTTTTTTTTTTTTTCTTTTCTCCAGACAGAACTGCTGTATGCCATTAATTCATAGCTTTAACCAAGCCCTTTGGGCATTTTGAGAAATTCAATTTGCCAACATGTTTTTTTATTAGTCATAGACATCAGATTATTTCATCAATGATAATATTTTCCTTTGCCTTTTTGGTCTTCACCAGCCAGGCAACCCAAGTGTTGTACTTGAATCTAATGGAGTCTGTTATGGTCTCCTTAGTAACTAGGAACTCTCCTCAGCGATTACTGGAAGGATAGGAAGGCTTTATAGCTTGGAGGTAAATTCCTATTATCTTGCTCTTTCCTACTTTTTTTATGGGGTGGAAAGTGGGAGGAAATCATGAATTTGTGTAATGTTTTGAAAAGGAAATATCTATCTCTATCCTATTGCTAAATGGCTTGCATTATACCAACTCAAAGAGAATTAGAAAACCAGGGAACTATTTATAGAACAGTTTCAACACAGAGTTGCCAGCACTGTAAATTTTCTGGGTATTTCCACACAGTTGGAATTGTGGCCTCGGATTCTGAGGCTGGACTTTGTCACACTTACTAGCCAGGAGAAACTGGATGAGGCACATAATATCTCCAAGCCTTAGATACTATTTCATAGAACTATTGTGGGGTTCAAATGACATAACATGCACGGTACCCAACATTATGCTTGCAATATAGTAGCTATGTCTTCCTATTTTTGTCATTACTCCTTGAAATACATAAGGGAAAGTTTCAACCCTTCACTAAACACTAAAGTACCTTTTCTAAAGATGTCTTTGTCGCACTTTACAGGAAATAAAATGTGTACTTAATTGAAAGCAAGACTTTTGTCTTTTTCTTCTTTCTTTTTTTTAAAAAATTAAGTGTTCTGCATAATTGCATTGATTTCCTCCTGACTTTATATGGGTAGACAAAACTTAATGTCCTGAAAACAGACATGCAAATAACCTTGATCAAATCTTCTGCCAGAGCTGGCCT